CTTTTTAAAATTGTATAAAGACAATAAGTCACATGTTATCTTAACTCTAGTGCTCCATAACTAATAATAATAATATTGCTAGTGAAGCATGTGAATATTAGGAGAAAAATGAATGACTGTACATCATTGCTTGTTCAGGTCAGGTTTTGTCATCAAATTTGTTCTAGTCAGATCATACTTTGATAAAAAATGTTATGTGTTACAGTTTTCAGAGCTTTTGAACATGGGAATTGTGGATAAAAGAGTATGGATCTGTATTTGATTCTTGGGTATGTATGAATATGATGCTTTAACAGAAACATTTCATTATCTCAACTTTCCTGTTGAAAGGCATACTAAATCAGTGATTTCTTAACATAGATAGGCATGCGAATCACTTGATGATCATTTAAAAACTAAAAATTTGTGAAACCCATGCTAACTTTACCGATTTCAAATTCTTTTGAAAATTGATGGGGGGCTTCAAGTCTGTGATGAGGCTTAATAGCCAAGTCCAAATGGGAAAAATAAAAAGATGTAATTAAAATATTTTGCAAATCTAAATGTGTTCAATTTTAAGTGCTGTCCTTTATTTTGATACTCTCCTTATATGTTTGGTGTTAATATATTTAGTTACATTAGTCCATGAAAAAGTGGAGAACTTCCATAATAATGGTTTTCTCACTCTTGGCAACAGCACTCTTTCATACTGAATGAAATCTTAATGTGGAATCCTGATATATAACATAAATAAGCAGCATCCTGTTAATATAAACTTATTTTTGTTATTTAATTGCTTAACATTAGTAGTGTTTTTCTCTAGCAATTCATATATGCTACTACAAAACACTTCTACTATTCATTTATGTAATTTTTGAGCACTTTTTAAAGCATTACATTAGTCTGATGATACAGTCGTGATTAGGACACATCTCCAATTCCATAGTGGAATTGGAGAATAAGGCATGTAAACAAAGACTGTAGAAAATTGTATGAGCTGGGCGTGATTGTGCATTCCTGTAATTGTATCACTCAGGAGGCTGATGGAAGATGATTTCTGCAAGTTTGAGTCTAGCTTTGGCTACAAAGTGAGTTCAAGGTGAGCCTGAACTGCATAGTGAAACTCTGTCTCAAAAAGATGAAGAAAAAAAGTAGAAAATTGAATCATGCTATTTTTTTTGGTATTACCTGGAATTGAACCCAGGACCTTGTGTTTGCCAGGCAGGTGCTGTGCCACTAAACTATATCCCCAGCACAGAAAACTGTATGGGAATGTTAGAATAAGTAGCTAATGACAACTTCTAGTATTTCTGCATAGGAGGCTTAAAGTTTCAAAACAGAATATATGAAAATAGTTGTAGAAAGTAGTTGTTTTCTTTTGTGTGTCTTTTTAATCTTAAAAAGAAAGCAGCCTGTTTTATATTAAGTATATATCAAGTACAACCCTGTTCAAGTTATATGTTTGCTACACATTCTTAACAGTGTTGTCCATATAATAGTACATGGTACATTGGTTCATGAATTTAATCCTTTCGAAGTTTCCTTCATAATGTCAATATTGAACCTAACTATTGAGTTTGATTCCTTTCACATCCAGTTCGGTTTGCAACCAGAACTCTAGAAGACATTAAGTTCATGAACTGAGATACCACTACATACCTAATACAAGTTTTTTGTTTTTTATGTTTTCAAACAATTTTCTTTTTTTAAAAAATGTACATTTTAGAAACAAGGACTATAAACTTTTAATTTAACCTTTTATTAAAATGATTCTTGAATCATATAAATTTAATCTTTACCCTTTATTGCCAATAATGAAAAACAAAGCAGCAGCATGTACTACTGGTTTTAAGAAACACTGTAAAACATAATTAACTCATTTCTTTTACTCCTTCACCAGAGGTACTATACCATTAACAGTTGATGTTTTTGGTTTCTGGCCATTTCTTTTTATTTTACTACATACATGTATATTATTAAGATAGAGTTATATATTGCATATTTTAAAATTTTATATGTATAGTGTCACATTGCTGTTTTCAAGATATTTGTGATTCATTAATGACATTTTTATTTTCACTTTTATATGGTGTTTAATTGCAGAAATATACCACAATGTACTTTAGTGATGTGCATTTAAATTGTTTCCATTTTTTTGTCATTACGAGCAATACTGCTGTTACTATTTATTTCTTATGAGGACTAGGGACATTTTATGGGTATGTACCTAGGAAGAATTGCTGAGTTGTAGAAGTTGTACTTCCATTTCTTTTGTAGACATTTGTATTATCTGAGTACAATGTTGGTCTGACAATTTCTGTTGTGTCTAATATAGATTTTATTTTTGTTCAAGAATGTTACAATTTAAAAAATAGGACAGAATGATTTTTCTTACTGATTTTGAAAGTAATTCTAATTACTCCCTAAAATTTTGGTAGAACAAGTCTTTTAAGTTAAAAATGTTAACTTCCATGCCTAGTTTGCTAAGAATTTAATTATAAACAATTTACCTGACTGGATTTCAATCAAATGTTCAATTTTATTTGATGTTTTTCTTATTAGAGATTATTTGTTTTTTCATCTTCTAATGAAGTTAAAATACATGGATGGTTTTAAGTGCTAAAACATTTTGCCTTCATAAGAATACTATGTGTAGATTTTTGTATCTGTTCGCAAGTGTGATTGTCCTGTAATTGTCCATTCCCATATACTATCCTCTTTTGAGAGGTAACAGATTTGAGAATTGTTCCTTTTTTGTTTTACTCCTTGGAAAATTTAGTGTAAGATAGGAGTTAGCTTTCCCTTAACAGATTGATACTAAAGCATCAGGTCTTTAATCAGAGTGGTAATTTTTCTTTGCTTTTTTGGGGGAAGACAGGGTCTTGCTATGCAGTTCAGGGTGACCATGAACTCACTTTGTAGCCTAGCATGGCCTCAAACTGGCAGCAGTCCTCCTGCCTCAGCCTCTGGCATGCTGGAATTACAGGCGTGTGCCCCATTTAGACTTAGATCACCCTACCAATATTTCTGTCATGGTGAAATGTTGGCATTAGCAGTTCATTTGTATTTCTTTGCCAGTTATGAGGTCAATGTTGTATCTTTCTGAAATCTAAAAATTGAACTATACAATTCCCTGTTTTGAAATTGCAACACTTCTTTTAGAATTTCTGCTTTTTTCCTGTGTACAGTTCTATGCTGGTCAATTTGTGGTCTGTTAGCATATGTAATATCAGTTGGAAACTGGTAAACCAATTGTCAAATGTTACATTCCAATTAGTTTGGGAGACAGGAGCAACAAGTTTGTTTATGACATAATTCGGTTTATTATTATACGAATAAGGACTTGATGACTGAGTTTCAGGTAAATGTCTAAATTGAAAACATAATCTTCATATCTACAAGTGCATATTTTTATGCCATGTTTTGAGCCATTGCTTTTCAAAATATTTTACATTCCAGTGAGCACAATGAGAAATCTGTGCTAAATTAGTAGACCTATGCATGCTTTCAGTTCTTCCTGTGAGGTGTCATAATAAATACATTTTTAAGTATGGCTATTGGTGCATAAAGAATGTTTTACTTGCATTTCAGCCTTTTTATATTTTACAGCATTTTGTAGCACTTTGTCTATTACAGTTTTCAACATTTAATGGCAGTACTGGCATTCTGTTCAATACTTTTGGCCCCTGCCAAGACGTTCACTATATTTTCAGACCTAGTTCTAGCATTGGATCATTCCATTTTGTTGCATGGTGATTTCACAATATTTCAACTAGTTACATATGTATTCACATTGCTGATCTTTCTCATCTGAATCAAGGTGGTCTGCATTTCTTGTATCTGAATTATTTGATTCTTGCTTTATTTCCTGTTACAGGAATTTTGGCTCATATGGCCAGCATCAAAGTTATCATCATCATCATATACCCACAGGACTCTTTTCTGATGTATTTTACCATAATGGATTATCTTCATTATCCTTGCATGAATAATCTGATGATTGACTTGTGACTTCCTCCAAAACTTGTAAATCTAGTTTTTCATGTGCTATTGTTTTAAATTAGGCTACTTCTACCAAAAAAACCAAAAGAAAACTTTAAAAAAAATAAATCTTGAAATTGTATGGCTCTATTGGAACCCTCTGTGATACTCAGGTAAACATACATAAAACCAGTTTGTGCATAAAGGTAGATGGAAATTCCCTTTTGTACATATGCACACTCCTTGTTGTTCATCATACCAACTGGGTAAACAATTAGATTGCTTCCTGTATGCCTCAGGGAAAGGTACTGAGTTGCACAGCTGACTACTATAATTCTAACGTACAAATTTACAGTAGAAAAGTAAAGAATGGATTTGCTGATACAAGCTTATGTGTTCAGTAAATATCATGACTTTTTCTATAGAAACACTGATTTATTTAAAGATGGTTTAGGAAATGAAAAAAATTACTTATTTCCCTTTGTTTTTATTTATATTAGTGATTATAATTTTCAACAGGATTTGATTTCCCCTCCCACCCTCAGTGACATTTAGGAATGTCTGGAGTCACTCTGTCCTTAGACACCTCCAGTTTGTGATGATGATTAAATTTTCTTGCTGTTCATAAATTTAACTGTTTTGAAGTATAAATTGATAAGTTTTGTCAAATGTTCAGGAGTGTCTGATATTTACTCTTGAGTAGATTAAGTTTATGCTATGGTAACAGCACCATAGAAGTTATGCTGTACCCTTCTCAGGTTATCATTTCAGAAGATGATGAAGTATCTTACTAGTCATGATAGTCACCTTATTTAAGATGCTGTTTGTCGTTACTCTCCTGAAAACCTATTTTTTCCTTTATAATTTATAAATGTTGCATTTTAATAGAGATATAAATTGTTTCATTTTGTAAAATAGTTTGTGATTAGTTGATTTAAATAGCCTGATAGTATTTGATAAGTTTTATAATTTTAACATCATGTTTGCTGGTAGGTATGCTGGGACACTGACTTTCTCAATAGCCTTAACTGTATTTTCAGAACACTTACTTAACTTGAAGTTTGCTGCAAAAGAACTTAATAGAAATGCCAAGAAATGTGATAAAGAAGAAAAGACTGAGAAGGCCAAGATTAAAAAGGTAGGCCGCTTTTAATATATTTCTCATGAAATAAGCACAATTAATAATGAAGGCATGGCGAATCATGTAATGTGTTTTACAGTGAACATACATAAATTCCTGCTTTCTGTATTCTAAAACAAATAAATTATTTTCCTAGATGTTTAAAAATGGCTATGTCTTATGTTTAAATGTGTGTTGTTCTTTATTTATGCAAGCATGGGCCACAAAAACTAACTATTTTGTGTTATGTACATCTAAAAACTGTCTTTTAGCTAAGACCACATTAACTGAGAAATACAAACCCCATATTTAAGAATAATATTTAAATTTTGGTAATTTTAAATTCTATGCTTAAAACGTTTTCTAGCTAAACACTGCTTAGTGTTCATGATTATTTTGGTTTCTGTATTTGGCACAAGGTTTTACAAGACTCAGTATAAAGTTGTATTCATGGCTGTTCTTTATTTTAGTGAAAGCATAAGAGGAATTTTAAAACTTATAGCCAGATACTATATTCAAGGATAAGAAAGGTAGGCTCAGTGTGTTTTGATAAATAGAGCCATACCTGCTCAATGTAAGACACTGATTGCTTCTTCCTGCTCAACCAAGGCCCTTCAGACCAGAACAAGTCTGCCTGACAACATATGACCCAGCCTATGTAACCAATGATAAAATAACCTGCTATGAGCTTTTTGTACTTTCTGCTTAAAATACATGTAAGTGTTCATGTAACCCCAAGATGGGGCTGGTGATTTGGAACTCAGTGTCCCATAGCCTGTTAGTATAGTAAAGAGTTGTATAGTAAAGAGTTCCAACTCCTTGGTGCTGCATGTTTTCCATCCAGTTCAGTCCTGGTTTTCCATAACAAAGGGGTACAAAGCAGAATCAGTAAAGCAAAGAGCTGTATGGTGCAAAGTGTGGGGTATACAGTCTCAAACTTCCAAGAGTGGTTTCCCAGTGGAGTCACACAGGGCAAGCCTAATTCTTCCAGCTATTTATGACAGCACATGTGAAATGTTGTCTACCTGAGAAGTTCTCCTCATCCTAGAAGTCTGGGATTTTTATTGGTAGTCAGTAACCTTGGCATTTTCTATATAACACATGACAAAATTCCAGATCCCTAGAAGGAAATCAGGTTTTTGATATAAAACAGCTGTGTTTTTAGAGGTTAGGCATGGTGAGCGACTCATAACAGTTCTGCATACTATCAACAAATCTAAATTTCTTTATATCAGGCAAGCATAAAACTATACAGGTAGGCTTTTCTAAGTCTAGTAGTCTGAAGTCCATCATGTTATTTTTTGAAAATGTGTATTTATACATTGATATTTAATGCTGTGTTATCTTAGATTTTTAGATATTTGGTAATGGCATGTGTCTAGTCTTTAAATTGAGTCACTTTTTGTATTCTGCTAATTGAGAGAATTGTACAAAATAAAAAGGGATAGAACTACTTAGGCTGTTGTAAGTTCATGTATTATGATTGTTCCTTTCTAAAAATTTATACCCAATTATTACAAGTAAAGGATATCTCCCAAAATATTTTTATACATTGAAGAGGTTATATGCAATGAAAATACTACTGTTAAGGTATCAGATACTAGACAAGCATAACACTATGAAATTGAACAAATTATCCTAACATATGTAATTCTAATAAATGTCTTCCCATTTAAACAGCTTGCTGATAGGAAGCAGTGCTTCCTGAATATGTATCTAGAGAAATGTGATTCTAGTTTTCCTCAACAAATTTCTTGGCAGTTTTCTTTTCATTTTACTCCACTTTCCTCCTCTACTTTCTATGAATTACTCTTCATCCTCATCTGTTTTTTTCCCCACTCTAAAACACAGGATTACAACAAATTTTTTAAATAAAAAGTTTTAAAATCATTTTTGTGGTGATTACACACAAGTGATTAGATTTTAAAACGTCCAACTCTATATACCAAAAATGCTTCCTATGATTGAAGATAGAAACTTTTAAAAGTAAAATCATATATATGTGTGTGTGTGTGTATATATATATATGTGTGTATATATATATATATATATATATATATATATATATGTGTATATATATATATTTGAAGGGAAGTGTTTTTTAATCATCTTGGAACAGGAACAGGAACTGGAGATTATAAAACCTAAAAACCTCAAAAAGGTATGATGTTTTTAATTCTGAGTATCTGGGGAAGATACCCAGAAGGGGAATAGCTGGGTCAAATGAGACTTCTAGTCCTACCTTTTTGATGAATTTCCACACTGATTTCCACAGTGATTGTACCAGTCTGCACTCCCAATAGTGGAAAAGGTTTCCCTTTCTTCCAGATTGATAAATTTGACTATGTTGGAAAAAAATCTGTATATCTAAAAATCCCACTAAAAAGCCAAAAGAAAATATCTGAGAATATATATTTAAAGCAGTGTGATAGTGTATCTCCTGTCTTAAGAATTCTGCATATTGAATAGGTACAATTAGGAAAAATCTAACAACTTATTAAAAATTAGACAAAGCATATAGTTTATACAGTAGTCTTTTAATGGCTTACAGAAAAGTCTTTGAACACAGGAGCTCTAAGTCTCAATTTTTACATACATTCCTTTTTAAATATAAATTATAATATGATAGTATTATGTCTCAGATCTAAAAGTATTGAAATTTTTTTATTTGTGATAATAAAGATCAAACCCAAGGCCTTGTGCATACTGGTCAAGGTCTCTAACACTGAGCTACATACATTGCCAGCCCCAAAAGCTTGATAGTATGCTTCATTAGGAAAAGAGACTGTGATCCTTTTTAGGGAAAGTAAAAGGTCACACAAATTTCTGAGCCATTTGACAATCTATATTAAAGTTATAAATTCATATAGTCCTTTGTATAGTAATTCCAATCCTAGAAACTTGTCCTAAAGATATATTTAATGTGTGTGTACGAGTGGCCAAGTTTATTTGTCACAGAACACACAAAGCAGGCACAGTCTGCATGCCCATTAATAATGAAGCTGTTAATTTATGGAACCATCATATGTGGTACAATGTAACTGTTGAAAAGACAGATAAACTTATATTTTGAAATGGAATACTGTTAATTGATGAAACCAGGATCCAAAATTGTCCATGTATTCTTTGTACTGTTTCCAACACTAGGTATTTAAAAAAACATTTTGGGGCAAATCTGTTGAAATAAGGTATTACATTATTTGAATTTGCAGTTCATAAGGATGAGCTTGAACGTCTTTTAACAGTTGGACATTTTTACACTTGTGTGCAATGTGTAACTACTTGCTCATATACTTCAAGTCTTTTTCTATTGTGGTGTTCAGTTTTCTAAACTGATGTGACTGCGACTTACAGTTTTTATGATCATTAAAACTGATGCCTCATTCTGAGGGCTTGAGGCAGGAGTATTACAGTTATGAGCCCAGCCTAGGCAACTTAGTCACTGAGACCCTGTCTCAAAATTAAAAAAAAAAAATAGGTGAAACAAGAGTTGATGACATAGTTCAGTACAAAGGCCCTGGGTTCAGTCCTCAGTACTGCCCAAAAGTTATGCCTTAAACAGATGTCCCTTATTTAATATGTGTTTTTGCATTACTATGGTCTGAAAATTTGTGCCTCTCTCCCCTTGCATATTTTCTGTTGAAACCTTGTCAGCCATGCCTTTGAAGGTGGGCCTTTGGAGGACTAAATGGGTCATCAGAACACAGCTGTCATGAAAGCTATTAGTGTTCTTACTGTTATTAGTGCCCAGAAAGCTGCTTTGCTCCTTGTACCATGTGAGGATGTAGATGATGCTATTTGTGAACCAGTAGGTGGGCCCTTATCAAATATTGGATCTGGCAGCACTTTCATCTTGGGCTTCCTAGCATCTAGCACTCTAAGAAATAAATTTTTATTTTTGGTATGTATAGCAGCCCATGCCTCCTTACTCAGCACATTATATTGCTGCCTTGCAAAAATTGTCATTAGAAGTGCCTTGGCTTTCCACTTTCCTTCTCCTGTAAGATTTGCATCCGTTGGTCAATTTAACTACATTTCTACATCTGTGTTTGTATTTTTCCTCTTAGTTCATAAGTTAACTTATTCTTTCTTTAGCTCTACCTGACTGAACTCTTGATATCATTACCTGTTTCCTCCTATGGGCCTTTTCATGAATCAGTGTATCACCTAATAGGGTTTGAGAGGGTCCTCCAGAGAAAAGAGTGGAACCTCATTTGATCCTCACCATGATAGGTTGAGCGACTTGCTTAACATAAGAACATCTGAGGACACATTGATGTAAGGCTTATGCCGATACTTGGCAGGGTTAGAGTGTCAGAAAAAATAAGAGATCTTCAGTTTGAAGAGCTAAAGATAGAATGGTTTTCATGAGCCTGGCCCATTCATCAAAGAACACGGATAGCCTTTATGGATTAGCTGAGGTTGGGTAGAATCTGATTGATCATTATTTTATTTCTTATTTGCAACAAGGCTTTAGATGATGTCGTTATTGCTTGTGGGGGTAATTTGTTCTCTATTAAATAATTTTTATTTTGGGAAGCCTCAGTTTTGTGGAGGCTCTACTAGAATCCATAATTTGGGAAAATGACTAGAGACTTGTGGGCATAATTGAACGTTTTCATAAATCTCTTGGTGCCTGGGTATTGATGCTGGATGAAATAGAATATATAAATTCAGGGCTAATAAACCTTTTGTTGTAAATTTTTTGACAGACACTTCCTAAAGATTAGCATGCCTATATGCCTGTATGCAAAATTGAGACAGGATTTGACCCAGTTTTAATGTAATAAAGGATACTGTATGCAGAACAAACTTTGTTCTGTTTCTAGTTACTCATTGGGCATCTGTAGGCTCAAATGAACACTTACTCATTTTTTTAGCAAATACTGCAGTTAAAGTCCCTGACTGCATCATAAGAAACATACATCATGCTTTTAATGATTAACAGATTAAAAAGTCAGGAGTTATTTTGTCCTCTGTCTCTGTGGTGGTCTCTGATTGGATCAATTCTCTGTTCA